CCCAAGCACCTATTAGGCAAATAAACAAATCGGGAAAATACAAGCAGGATTGTGCATAAACTTTGTATTGTTACATGTAGTAGTTTAGGAAATTATCCATAAAGTATTTTTTTTAAAAAATTGAGTTACAAAAGTAGCTTTCGTGCTCTTAACACTAGATATAGAATCACAGAATGGCCTAAGCTGGAAGGGACCTTAGAGATCATTTTAATCCAGCCTCCCTGCCGCCAGGGACGCCACCCTGACTGAGCTAACCAGCGTAGTTTCAAATGTTTTAATATGGATGTGTATGAAGTGGTAACATGCTAAACGTATCAGAAAATAGAGAACTGAACTCAAACAGCTTAATAACCCAGTGCTTATTAAATGTGTAATTCATCACATGAAGTCTTTGGGCTTATTTTTGGATATTTTGAGAGAGGGTGTTGTATAAGGAACAAATTTCTTAGTTCTTTACCGTGTATAGCTGGAACTCAGCCTAAAAATGTTACAGAGAAGAAAAGACTTCCTTCCCTATAGTATCTTTTCTCCTAATTTAACCTGTTTCATTTTCAGCTGTAGTTATAGTGCCTGGTCTCGCTGCTCACGCATATTTCTCACAGTAGCAGAAACTCCATGGAGTTTTCAGTCTTAACAAAAGACTTACAGCAGCATTTTACAGTCCATCTCTGCACCTCTAAATCAGTCACTCATTTCTTACTGCAATTGTGAGGTGGCTTTTACAACTGTAATAAAATAATAGCTTTGGGTAATTCCCTTGCTATTTCACTAGCAGCCCAATACAAGGCCTACCAAATACTATAAATAAAAGGATAAATTTGCAATTGGCAGACTTGCCAAATAAAACATCACCTCAAAGGGCCACAAGTTTTAAACTGAAATGTAACAGCAAAAAATATAAACCTGACACATGGGAAAACAAAAGCCTTTTTCCTTGTCTAGATGTCTGTTTGGTACACGCTACCTAAAATGTCATTACTGTAAAAAGTGGAAACATTCTCTGTATCAGCCATGTAACATCAAGTGGTTCCACCCTTCTAAATTAACCTTTTTCTTTACATTACAGAGGCACAGCTCCCTTAACAAGGTCTCCTTCACACTACAATTGATTTTTCTTGCTTCGCATGCCCTCGACTTTGTGCTCCTCCCCTGCTCTGAAGCCTTGTCCAGGGCTTGGGGTGGCACCAAGGGCTTCCTTCAGGCCCCACCAAAACAGCCAAACTAGCTGCACCTCCCTGTGGGCTTCAGCTGCAAGAGGACACGGGTCCCAAATCTCTTAGGAACAAGACTTAGATTGTTAACAGAGTGCAAGGCCAGACGATTCAAGCACAGCTTCAGTTCCTAGTGCAGGGTTTTGCACTACTGAGGATGTAACAGACAGGCTGGTTTTCTGCTCAGGGAGACCGAGCCCCCATTGCCACTTAATGTGAAAAATTGCTACACCTGCCTGGTGCCAAATTTCCTCCTTTGTCCAACAGCCTGAGCAACTGATGTTGGAATCTGACCCTAATTACTAAACCACAAACCATTCCACCCCACTTTGCTCTTCCCCAGGGCCAAGATTCCACTGACATTACCCACGTTTTCTTCTTTCATTTTCTTCCTTTACTTCTCCAGCACCCTCCCCACAACTGAGTTGATACTTCAGCTCTGTTGAGACTTGGACAAAGTAAGGTTGATTTTTTCGCATTCAGGGCTGAGCTCCCTGCTAGAATCACCAACTTTGAGTCAGTAACTTGAGTTTTGACCAAGCTCCTTGTGTGGAAGGAAAGCTCACGGGGACCAGCTCCCCTTGCAAAGCGTAACAGCAAAAAAGCACTGACCGCTTTGGCAAAATGATTTTATAAAATACTACCATTCCAGCAGTTGTATAGCTTGCATGTAAATGGGTCAATTAAAATATGTTAAATTGTTGTAGAACTATCAAGTGACACTGGAGACTTTTAAATTAAAGATATAGTGAATCCAGCTACCTTCAACACTAATGACAAGGATGATAGAACAGGTTGGCTTTTGGCTGTAAAATTGGGAACTACGAAAGTGTGGACAAAATTATCATACTTGCATACTGAATTCATGCACTGATGAGTATGTGCTGTACCAAGTAATAAAAATTATTTCTCCTAGGTAGTTATACACATCTGCAAATGTTCAAGATTTCAGAAATTTAGTTTTGGCATTTTGCATAGTTTCTATACTAAATGCCACTCTTAGAATAAAAGTGTGTATATGCCATATACAAAAATCATTTTGGTCTGCATGTTCTTTAGCCTATTTTCTTTTGAAACCGTTATTAAGAACTAATGCTAGACACACATCATATGAAACATACTGTATTTGTTCTACAGTATTTCAAATGGGGAATACAAGCTTCAGATTTTCTTTTAACTCACTTATGCTCCTGTGATGACATGGACTGAGTATGGCGACCTACATTTCTCCAGACAAATGCCTGGATATATAACGTGAATCCGCTGAGGACTGTCTCCAGTCAATAAATGGGGGTAGTCCTCAGAAAGAGCCTCAGAGAAGGAGAAGTTACAAAGTCTTTCATCAAGACATTTTCCTTTAGCTGCAAGTTTTCAATTTACAGGAACGATCACCCTGCAAAGGCTACTCTGTATTTTCTAAGAACAAAAAGCTTTAAAAATATTTTTTGAGGAAAGTTACATAGCCTTTAACAATTTCAAATTTCATTAGCAATGTGCTGCACCTAGCAGAGTAAAATGGAAGTTTGATAAAAAGAAATGGGCCAACTTTGACTCTCTCAGTAGTAAGATGGTAATTTACCCCAGCAGATACCTCTTGGTTAGTGTCTTCGGCTGATCTTTGCATTCAGCAAGTGCTGCCTCTGGAAAGCCATTGCTCTTCTAGACAGGACACCAGAGCCTGACGTCGCTCAGGACACTGAAGTTTCTAGATTGAATCTAGGAAGGCTGAAATGAGCCTTTTTGCTGTGCTGGGGGGACACTGCTAGATCATCATTTCCTTATAATTTTGCAACGTTTTTACATTCAAAGATGGAATGACTTTTTCGTACTGTAATTTCACAGTTCCAGTGGGTACTGGCAGGCTGTTTTAATGTGTTTTCGCTTTTCCCTTTCATTACAAAGACCAACCTGGCAAGTGCAAGACAAAGCAGATGCTAATAATGTTGCTTATACAACCGGGAAGCTATGTTTTCACACTGATTACCCTGTTCTGCAGCATCCACCTGGGGTAAGGTGAATATACAGACTTTTTCAAAACACAAAAGGGGAAAGGGAAACATTCTTATGGGGAAAGGGAAACATTCTTATTGCACAACATAAGGTTAGCATTCAGTGACTTTGAATTTTGTCTTAGAAGAGCAATATAAAAATAATTATATATTGATCTGCATATAATGATCTATAAATACGTGGCTATGCAATATATACATAATGTAAGTTCTGCATAACAAGCCTCTTACGTATCCCACATTTTTTAAATTAAATTCACAAGATATTGAGAATATTACCATATGAGAAAACATTAGGGTCTATATGTGGTTTTGATACTGCTTTTGTTACATTAAAAAAGTTAGGGCTAAATGCTGTACTCAAGTGGTGACATTTTAGGACTTATCTGTTCACCTCAGGAGGGGAATGTATTAGAAGAGATATGATTAAGATGTTATGTTCTGTTTTCTCTGAATTAAGTTAGATACTTATTTCGCTTTCATAATAAACCAAAAAAGAGGCATTCTGTAAAGCTAGAAAACGACCACAGAAAATATGTTTTCACCTAATCCCTGTCACATGAAACTAACCCGCATAGTTCACCAGAATGTTATGTTCTGTTTTCTCTGAATTAAGTTAGATACTTATTTCCCTTTCATAATAAACCAAAAAAGAGGCATTCTGTAAAGCTAGAAAACGACCAGAGAAAATATGTTTTCACCTAATCCCTGTCATATGAAACTCTAATCCGCATAATTCACCAGAGAACAGGTACAAAGAACAAAGATAACCCTGGAAAAGTTTGCATCTATGAAACTTCCCCTTCTAATGTTGTGAAATACTTTCTATCAGTTGTTTCTACAATTAAACAAAAAGCCAATGTGATTTATCCACAAATAAGTACCAAATATTTCATGCCAACATCACATTTTAAAATCATTTAGATAATGTTCATTAATATGGAGCAAGGATGGAAAAGGGCTTCATGAACAGAGAGCAGGTGTGACAGCTCACTGCCCTGTCTGTGCCAAAGCTCACACTCTGCTGTGAAACATTTGAAGAGTGTAGCATTTTTCATTTAAAACTGCTTGTAAGGAAAAAAAAGTATTAGATTGAGTTATTTTTGAACATTGTCCTGAATGTGCAGTTGTCTTATCTAATTATACAATATTTGAATTCTTAAGACCTATTTATTACAAACATTTAAAGAAATATTTTTAAATGGATGTTTAGTTTCAAAACTGTCCCATAAAAATAGCTTTAAGATTTCCTACGTTTTGATCTGGCAACTATTTTTCCAGGAGATACGCTGATTAGAAAGAAACCCAAACAACTGATGATTAGATCTAGCAGAAACATTAACTCTCTAGAATATAAAGCTAAATTCTCATTTGAACTAAATTCTCCCTTTGAACGGTTCCAGGGTTGTTTACCCTGAGGAAGGTGTCCGCAGCCCTCAGCAGTGCCAGGCTGGGCTCACCCTACGCAAGGGTGGCTGTGGCCACAAAAGAAAAGAGTTTGTTGCCTCATGCCCCCTTAAGTGGAAGCCCAGAGTCCCCCTCACAGCTTGTTGGCCAAAAGGAGGGCGCAAAGCTCTTCACCAAATGAATAAACTAGTTTACACCCTTTCTGCACTGCTGAGTATTTAAGTTTCCTCCTGCATGACCATCATCAAGGTCTGTGGGCCCAGCTGGTGAGTTGATTCTGGGACAAACCTTGTCCTCTGCTCCTCTTTCTCCTCCTGGTTTGTGGTTTTGTGTGTGGTTTTGTGTTTTTTTCCTCCTTGCAGTCTCAGAAATAATTCACCTTCATGGAAGGGATAGGTGACTGCAGTTACTATTGCTATGACGTTTATTTTGTGTTGTTTGGCTGAGATGAACAGTTGCACTTTGTGTCATGCTGGACTCTCCAAATCCACGGGGAGTTTTACGCCCGTGTCAGCAGCTCAGCTTTACTCTGAGAGCCCAGTTTAGGCTTTTCTGCTCCATCTCACACCTTGGCAATTTCACTGTGAAGTGAAATGAAACTATCTTAATCTCACTTCATCACAGAGACACTGGGCCTGTTGCTGTCTATGACAGCCACCTTTCCCCTCGGTGAGCAAATAACTCAGAGCAGGTTTTGTTTCTGCAGGAGAAAGCTAATCCGCCTGGTTGAGATAAGACTGCAATGCATTTAACATTATGACTGCCACAAAAGAGGGACTCAAATGAAAGAAGCAAGACCAGGGCTCTGCAGTTGACTCACAGGCTGCAAGCATTAGAAGATACCCCAGATGGGATGGATTTTATGAACACGCTACTTTAATCTTCTGCCTTTGTGATAGTGGTGGCAGTGCTGTGAAGCTGCAGTAATGGGAACTGTGTCTTTCACTAAAACCAAACCAAACAACCCCAAAACAACAAAAAAAAACACCATAACCCCAGATATGAGGGAACTGATACCAATGAACTGATAAGTATGCAAGCTAATTCTTTTTGTAATGAGATGTTAATTCATTCCAGGTTCAGTTTCTCCACTGTATAAAGCAAACAGCTGCAGGAGGTGAAAGTGAAGTTGTAGATGGATTTCATGTATCCAACAAGCTGAAAAAACAAAATCCTGAGGCATATCAGATCCTGTCCTCTACTGCTGTAGACTATACAGATGTTGGGGTCGACTACTGTGATTTTGCTGTGCAATGTAAACAAAGGATTATAGAGTGAGTAGTTTCAACAACACAAAAATAGAATCCCATGTAAGTAGGAGGAGGTCTGCTCCTGCCACCGTGTGGGGAAACACTGGTTTAACTTGGTCTGTAGTTAGTTTTGTGGATTTTTTGAGTTTGTTTGTTAGAGGGGTTTTTGCCTGTGTGTAACATGTTCTGTGCTTTGTACCACCACAGCATAGTTTTCCTTATTTGGTTTCGCCACAGACTGGCAAGAAGTGGTGGCAATTGGAGCACCAGACACAGGTTAACAGCAGCTAGATCTGTTACTAAATTCCAGCTGACGTATATCTGTATCATGTCAAAGAGAGGTCATAATTTGAAGCGTTTAGATTAAGAACTATATACTGTAAAAAGACCAAATGAAAATGTTCATACATGTTAAAAGTGTATTATTCTACAATTAAAAGAGTATAGAATATAGATTTTTGAGCAAATTAAGTGTCTACACTTTCTCCTGATAATCCCTTTTCCAATCCATCTATAGGAACATACTGAAATTCCAGCAGGAGAATTCAGTTGTTGTTTCACCATCTTAAAATATTTCAGTAACAACATAATACATGCCTGTTCCTTTCCTTCTCTATTCCATAGTGTCGATTCCAGAGGCCAAGCAGTTCGCATTAATTATAATAATGCAACAAGAGACACTGTGTTTGACATACCAGCTGAAAAAGTGAGGCCCTTTTATGCAGCTCTAAAGGAATTTGATGATTTATTAAACAGTGCAGAACACAAGTTTACTTACAAGCTGAAACCAGGTCAGTAAGTGGCTTCTCCTCATGATGATTTTTCACATGTTTTTCCTAACAGGCAAAACACTTGAAGCACTGGTACTGAGAGGAAATTTCAGTCCTTCTATCACCAATTTTATTTCATACTGCTTCCTTACATTCACCTCACAGATTTCTTTTGATGTTATTACACTATAAAGAAAGAAAAAGAGGTAAAAAAAGGGCATAGGGGATAGAGTCTATCTATTGTTTAGTCCAATCTATCTTTGTAGCACATCATAACCCCATAGCATAAAGGAAATTGTAACATGTCATATCGATAGCACCACAGACGGGACATATCATGTGTAAGACTGCTGTGCTATCCCAGTTCAGTGTCTATTCGTTGAACGACAGATAGTCACGTACTTTTTCCTCTGCTTCATTTGATGCAGAGTACAGGCGTTACGCCAAATAATATGTCTGGCTTCATGACGCTTGAATTTGTTTGTGGGGCACCTTCCCAGCAGCAGAACATCCAGTAGAAGATACAGATGCACAATGTGCTTAATGCTGAATGAAGCTGAACAGGGGAATTCAGTCATTGTCCTTGCTCAGGCACCGAACGCCAGTGTGATGCTGGGTGGGTTTCTGAGGCCACTGCTGCTGTGCTGCTCTTTCTGGGTGGCCTGTGCAAGACATCTGGAGGCAGATTTGCAGAAGTGCTAAGTGCTCTAAACTTCAGCTGGAGTTGTATACAGCTGTGTTTGGAACATAAAACATGCTGCAAAAATGCCCTTTACTCTTTAAAAGTCAGTCCGTGCATATATTTAACTGCTTTGGCCTTAATCTCCCTTCTTTCATTCCCCAGCTATAAAATAAAGATATGAATAGTCCCTCATCCCTCAAGAGATGTTACAAAAGTGAATTCATTAGTGTATCTGACTGCCTCACGTACTATAATGCTAGTGTCTTTAAAATGTCTATGAGGAAATTAATCTCCCTCTACTGGGAACATGCAATAAAATAATTTATAAGATCACATAATAGATGGTAAAACGAAGTACCTCACATTACATTATCACCATCCATCCCATCAATTAATGTACCAAAAGGGTTGTAGAGGGGAGGGGGAGAAGGAAAGAAAGACTCTAAGGTTGTTTAATTAGAGATTTATCATAATGGCGACACACAAGGGACAAAATTTTAAATGGCATGCTAGCTTTAATTATGTGATTTCCTAACTTTCAATGGCTTGACTTTGTTCTCCTAAAATTCTCTTAATAGGCACAGTAATGCAGGATAGTACAAATAGTACCAGTCTGATCAAATAAAAATCATCCTCATGGCTTTCATCCTTTTTATCCTTCCTGAGGACTTGCTGTAGTTGCCCTCAAAGCCTGTTTTGCTCAGTGTGGACTCTCCTACCACTCAACTTTTTAACTGGTTATACAAGTGGTTATACAAGAACAGAAGCAGAGATTGAAAGGGACCTTCCCTCTCTGGTTGAGAATGACCAGCTAAAATAAAATCACCGTCTTTGCTGTGACTGGCTGTCTCCAGCTGAGCGAATTGAAATTATTGCTCCCTAACCTTTGATATAAATCTACCTTCACATCATCTGTGTGAAGGAATCAACTATAACATACCAAATATTAAACTTTGTGCAATCTCTTTATAGGAGACATAGTGACGTTTGATAACTGGCGCGTGCTCCACGGTCGCCAAAGCTACCCATCGGGATCGGAAGTGACTCGTCACCTGGAAGGTGCCTATGTGGACTGGGATGTGGTCATGTCAAGGCTCCGGCTCCTCAGGAAGAGGGTACTGAACAGGGACTGAGCTTTCATAGAACTAGAATGAGGAAAATATAGATTGTCTAACCTCAACCACGACAACAAAAAATTTAAAAATTGTGTCTTCTTTTCAGAAACTAACATAACAAACACATTTTTGAGTTCCATAAGCTAAGAAACCTGTTGTTCATAACAATTTAAGATTCATCTGTGCCCTGGTCTTTGAAACCATAAATGCATTGCTACCTCTGGCAGTTTATTTGTTTTTTAAAATCAGTGTGCAAAATGTTTAGCACTGTACTGGGCTGACTGGGTATCACAACACCTTCCTTTGCCCCTACAAATATACTTGTCCTCCCTTGAAACGCAGCACCACAAGAGCTTAACATATTCTTTACTGAAGGTTTGTTATGAAAAGCACCTTCCTCTATTTTCAGAGAGGTATTTTTTATTGCATAACTCATAACTAAGATTCATTATCAAAATAAATAACCGCTGCTGAGGAGTTATTTTTATATGCACACCTTCCTAAGCAGAACTTAAGTTTAAATTTCCTTCGACAGATGCTCTATTCTGTATATCCTGCTGTACATGTGGTGACTATCACAGCCACAAATTTTCCTACATTTCCAAGTCCATAAGCTCAGAAACAATTTAGCTACCAGAGAATGTGTTGTATTAATTTTCCTCTGCATTAGAAATAGAAATTAATCTCAATGTAAAGGTCACAGACAGGGGCAGAAATCCCATCAGATGCTGTGCACAGATGTAGTTTAGATCTGCAGGGCAGGCAGACTTTTGAAGAAAGTCAGGAGGAATGCTGATGCTGCTTGGTGGCTAGAAACCACAAAGCACAAGAAGTGGTTATTGACTCCACACCTGACAGAGAAGTTGCAACTGATCTTGGATCCATTTTTGTTAAACCAAATCCAAGAATATGCCTCTGACAGACTTGGTCTGCAGGATGTTTTCCTTCATTCTGAATAGATGACACTATGTAAAAATGACTGCAGCCAAAGTAGTGGGTGTTTCCCCTTATATTCAGATGCCAAATCGAAAAAGAAAGAATTTTAAAATCCTCAGGTTTATACCCAACAATATGTCCACTGAGTTTATTTCTCAGTATCCTCACAGCTGCAGAGTTAACAGGACGCTCTCTTGACCACGCTGTGAGCCTCACAAAATAACCACACTCCATCCTCAGATATGCTCTCCTCGGCTGTTTGTTTTCAATCTAGACCTCGAAAGTCAAATCAATCCTAGTCTCTACCTTGTAGGCTAAAAGAATAGAACTGCAACGGCAGTATTAAATAACTGTAGAATTAAATTCATTGACACAAAAACCTCAACAGAAGTCAGACCCTAACAGCAGCTTGAAAACACTTCCATAGCTTCTGCTGATCATTTACACTCAACAGGTATCTCAGCTGAATAATCAAATAAAACTAGATTAGGCTTTGGTCATGACCCAGCATAGGGTGGTTCTAAACTGTTCCTCTTTAGGAAATAGTGAAACGTTTTGTAGTGAAACGTTTTGATCAAAGTTATGACATTAAGATCTATCGTAACAAAACCAGCTTTTAGTGGTAACTTGATTTCTCACTGCCTCCTTTAATAATTCATTTTGGAAACATAATGAAAGTACTTTTTGTCTTCGCTGTAAAAGAGGAAAAAGGTTAATACCTATATTCTGTAAGACACCAAACTGTGCTTTAACTGTTTTTTCCATATGACAATTGAGTTAAGACTGCAATTTATAAATTTAAAACAAGCCATTTTGAGATTTATACCAATGGTTAGTAGGGAAGAGATAATTTCTTCTTTTATTCTATACTTTTTAAAAACCTGTTTTATTCAAGTTTCTGTTTATTAAAAGCTATTATGGAACTGATTCCTGGTTTGGGTTCATATCTAATCTCACACATAACATCTTACACATAGACATGAAGTCATTATTGTTATTTACAAATATTTGTAAATATAATTAGACCTGATTCCATTCACTTCTGTCCTATATAATTATCATATAGTTAAAATACAACTAAACTTATAGCTTTGAACAGCTGCAGGGAAAACAAACAAAAAAAGAAACAAACCTCAAATTAATCAAGGCTCTCAATGGATCCCTGAAGTCCAAAACTGTAAGCCTGTGTTGTACTTTATATATACCTCCTTCAGCTGACCACATTTCCCCAAAATGTGCAGTATTGATGTTAAGTAAATAACATAATCATGATTTTTTTAGAAGGCAGCTTTGTGGATCACAGGCATGTGCCACAGGGTGTAGGAGTGCTGTGGTTCCAGGTTCCCAACAGCACAATCACCTGCTTGCATGCAATTTGCAGCATGTAAATCCTTTAATATTATATATAAACATAATTCAAGCTACTATGTATTCAACAAAGTGTTTCATGCAGAATGGAAGACAAATAATGGTAAAAACTGCTCATCCATTGAAACATGAACAAAATCTAATTGCTGCAATGCCTGTGTGAGCTACGGCACAATATCCAGGGAAAGGGCCAGATTACTCCCACAAAATCTGATGCACAATCAAAATTTAGGTTTCTGGTTGCAGAACCTCTCTGCTCAACTTCTGGAATCCAGCTACTACCTGCATTTAATTCTAAACACCTTTGCATATTCCTGTAGTCGTACTGGGAGAAGAGAGTATGTCTGTAACTGCCTGCAACATAGATCTCCTGATGACTATACTGATACCCGGGCAGGCCAAATAACAGAGGAAGCTCCAAATCGACACCAAGGACCAATGTTGCAAAGCTTTCACATAGGTTCAGCTTCTGCTCTGCTTGCAACCCTGACACGTGCAGGTCACCCAGCATGGGTACCCCAGGCCCAACTGTCTCTGCCATCTTACAGCAGCAAGAAGACTAAGCTGGTTGTAGGTGTTTGCGAGACAACTCTGAAGAAGCTTTGGGTTGTACCTGGAGGGTGCTAAGGGATATGATTTCACTTAGCTGGCTGTAGTCCAGAAGCTATAATGCCATGTTAGCTTTGTGCTGTCTGTGACGCGTCGAACATCCAGCCTGTGGTCAGCGACTGGCTGCATCTAACAGGCTAACAGCACGAGTGGAGAAACAGGAAAAATATGCATCCTTTTTATTATTTGCAAGTGCTTGTTCTGTCCCTAGCTTTTTACTCCTCCCATTGCGTTTTGTAGCAATGAATGATGAATCCAACCCCACAGTATTGTTTTAATGTATAATTTTATTTTTTTGTAATATATACATACAATTTCCAGCTATTTTTGAAAGCTTGCTGAAAGCAGACAGCATCTTGACCATATCAGCACCTTCACATCCCTGTGGATCACTGGCATAGCTCCACTTTTGCTGCTGCTGAGCTACCTGCAGCGTGTGCTACCTTCTTTTGGTGGGGTGAACAGCAAACCCAAGTCTAGAGAGATTTCCAAATCCCAGTGTGGGAACAATGCTGGATTAGCTGCTCGGCTTTGCTACTTGAAATATATTTATGTCCAGATATGTCTAACATGTTAAGTATGTATATGTATACAAAAACAAGCTTATCTGTACAAGTTGACAGAGTATAGAGCACATACTGATGCTTAAAACTCACACTTCTGTAAATTCACAGCAAATTAAATGCAGCCTTTCATCACATGTGCAATGTATTACTCCTGGAATATATGTATTTATTCTGTACCGTGTTTTTCTCTAATACAGAGAAAATACTTAGTGATCCTTTCTCAAATTCTTTCTAAAGCAAATGAGTTTTTATTCCACTTTATACATTTGTAAAGCTAACCATCAGTTTAGGGCAAGTCCATATTTGAAAGTTTCATGTTGGAAAGGTGAGATCACTTTAGTAAAAGTTAACATAATAAACAAATCTTATACACACTTTTTAATCTTACAACAAAAGATCCCCCAGCCCTGTTATACCAGTCCAGTAATGGCAAAAAGATGGTAAAGACTGAGACACAGCAAGAGCACAAAAATTCCTTTTAAAAGAAATAAAAAAAAACCCCAACTAAACAAAAAATCCACCCCACACCAAAAAGGAAAATAGATCACAACTGCCAATAAGAAACCTATTCTTTTACACAACATCTGATCAAAGTCTACAAACAGAAATTGTCAAAGCCAGGGAACTAGCTACATCACCTCAAGACAGTACCCATAGCATCAATCTTTAAAACAGACGTGGCAGCTCTATGGGATGTTTCTGGCTGAAATCAGTCTCAGGATTAGGAGCTGCTTTGGGGGTGTTTTGTAGAATATGAGCTGGTTTAGTTAGCAATGTGTTCTTAAAGTCAAATGCTTTATGTATTTTTAATGACTGGTTTGTGAAACTTTAAAGCAGGCAGAGGATTTTCTTTGTTGCCATACCACGAATCATGTCTTTCCCCATTAGTTCAAGCAAATTAAGGCAGGAAGAAGGTATAAACATGTGGATAGCAGAGAGTGGTTTCTCTATCGTCCTTTCTTTCCAAGCAGTCAATTAGATCAATAACCACTTGTGTCAGCAATAATCGAGCTATGCATCTCTTTCAAGTTATTTTTGGAAGCATTCAAAGCAGCAAAGATCACAGAGAAACGGACAGGGAGAAGATATAGCGATTTTCAGAGTATGTCAAACTCGGCTTCTGAAATCTTGGCCTGCTTCGTTTCTTTAATCAAACAGGAATGGTGTTACAAAAACGTGCTGAGGGCCCTTGAAAGGAAGCAGGCGAGGAGCAGGCTGCTGTGGCGAGCTCTGGTAGCGTACCTCAGAGACGCCGCTTGTGACAGAGGAGCTGGTTACCTCCTACAGCACGTCTGGAAATCAGCAGAACACAACTCCCTCGCTTCTGAACAGCCAAGCCCACAGCTATCTCCAGTCCTTTGTCGTCTTCAGTACCCTGTTCCCCACGGCAGTTTTCCCACACTGCTCCCTCGCAACTTCGTTTGCGCTTTGCAAGAAAGCACAGTACATCAGGGTAGGTGGGAGGAGAACTCTACCCATTCATTTTCTTGGATCCTCTACAAGATTGCCAAGACAAACAAATGCTACACAGCCAGATCACATGATTTTTTTTTCTTTTTCGGCAACTGCAAAGATTTAG